TGGAGGATAACTCGAAAGGTATCAAAGAAGCATTATTTTTAACGTGTCAAGAGGTTCTAAGCCTCAAGAAGCATAATCATAAGGAATGGATCTCTATAGAAACACTGGACAAGATCAAAGAAAGGAAGAACAAGAAGACAGCAATTAACAACAGCCGAACACGAGCAGAGAAGGTCCAAGCACAAGCTGAATACATAGAAGCAAACAAGCAAGTGAAGAAGAGCACTAGAGCCGACAAGAAGAAGTGCGTAGAAGAACCAGCAACGGCGGCCGAAAAAGCTGCAAGAGAAGGAAATATGAAACAGCATTACGATACAACGAAGAAACTATCAGGGAAATACAGTAAACCAGAGAGGCCGGTCAAAGACAGAAAAGAATGCAAGTCAATCACTGAAATTCAACTACAGCGGAACAGATGGGTAGAATACTTCGAGGAACTCCTGAATAGGCCGACTCCAATGAATCCACCAGACATCGAAACAGCACACACAGATATTCCCATAGACGTCAAACCCACCAACGAAGGAAGAAATCAGAATGGTGATTAGACAGATCAAAACGGGAAAGCAGCATAACCCTACAACATACCAGCTGAAGCACTGAAGTCAGGTATCAAAGTAACTGCAAACATGCTTCACCTTCTATTCAAAAAGATTTGGGAGGAGGAACAAGTGCCGATGGACTGGAAAGAAGGACACCTCGTGAAGATTCCAAAGAAAGGAGATCTGAGCAAATGTGAAAACTACAGAGGCATTACACTACTGTCAATACCAGAGAAGGTCTTCAACAGAGTGTTGCTGAACCGGATGAAAGATGCAGTAGACGCTCAACTTCGAGATCAACAAGCTGGATTCCGTAAGGATCGATCGTGCACAGACCAAATTGCAACACTACGGATCATCGTCGAACAATCAATTGAGTGGAACTCGTCACTGTACATCAACTTCATCGATTATGAAAAGGCATTCGACAGTGTAGATAGGAGGACATGATGGAAACTTCTTCGACACTACGGAATTCCCGAGAAGATTGTCAATATTATCCGGAACTCATACGACGGACTGCAGTGCAAAGTGATGCATGGAGGACAGCTGACAGATGCATTCCAAGTAAGGATCGGAGTCAGATAAGGCTGTTTACTCTCTCCATTCCTCTTTCTTCTGGTGGTCGACTGGATTATGAAGGCCTCGACATCCGAAGGAAAACACGGCATTCAATGGACAGCTCAGAATCAGTTACACGATTTGGACTTCGCAGATGAACTAGCCCTCATATCGCATACACACTAACAGATGCAGATGAAGACAGCCAGTGTAGCAGCAGTCTCTGCATCAGTAGGCCTCAGCATACACAAAGGGAAAACCAAGGTCCTTAAATGCAATACGGAGAACACCAATCTAATCATAATTGATGGAAAAATTCTGGAAGATGTAGAATCCTTCACATATCTGGGAAGCATAAACAACGAACAAGGTGGTTAAGATGCAGATGTAAAGGTGAGGGTTGGCAAAGCAAGGACAGCATTCCTACAATTGATGGACATATGGAACTCAAAACAAATGTTTGTCGACCAATATTAAAGTGAGAATCTTCAATACGAACGTCAAGGCAGTTTTACTGTACGGAGCTGAAACTTGGAGAACTACAACAACTACAATCAGGAAAGTACAAGTATTTATAAATGGTTGTCTACGCAAGATACTCAACATCCATTGGCCAGATACCATCAGCAACGGCCTACTACAGGAGAGAACAAACCAACTTCCAGCTGAAGAAGAAATTAGGAAAAGACGATGGAAATGGATAGGACATACACTACGCAAATCATCAAACTGCATCACGAGGCAAGCCCTGACTTGGAATCCTGAAGGGAAGCGAAAGAGAGGAAGGCCAAAGAACACAACATTACGTCGGGAAATAGAAGCAGATATGGAAAAGATGAATAAGAACTGGAAAGGATTGTCCAGGACAGGGTTGAATGGAGAATGCTGGTGAGCGGCCTATGCTCCTCCACGAGGAGCAACAGGCGTAAGTAAAGTAAGCAAGTAAAGTAAAACAACATATAGTACTTACTAATTTTATGATTTAATTGTATCTCTATACGACTATGTAATTATTCATAGTCTTACTTTCATAATTTTCATTTTTAATCAACTTTACAAAAGTTCTGTATAATGTTCAACCTTTGATTGGAGTACAAGGAATAAAGAAACAGTTTGTCTTCTGTAAATGTTTTCGATTTTCTAACATGAAAAAATAAAATCGATCTATTTTAGTGACAAGGACATTTCTTAAGTTCATTCGTTCAGACTACAATTTAAGAACAAATCCATCAGATTTAGGATAACAGTCGTGAAGTTCTATCACTCATTTTGGTTAAATATCATTTTGACATTATAACCAATATTAGTTTGTAATAAAAACCTTAAATCTAATTCCTAACCTTGATCACCAACTGTAAATCATAATTATAATTCCTCACACTGATTTATAACTCTCATTTAGCCCTAGTAAGTAGGTGAACGTTCTCAAAGTCAGTCAAGCGTTACTCAAAGGTCGTCCATAAATTATACTCTCATCATTCATTTACATAAATATTTTTCAGTTTAGGAGTTGTGGAGATTATTAAGTTTTTGATTGAAATCATGAACCGATTGATGTTAGACCACCATTGAACGCCTGGGAGTACTGGACAACCGTTTCGTCCATTGTGGGACTCCTCAGCAGTGCGCATCCACGACCCCGCCCGCGGGATTCGAACCCAGAAACTTCAGTTCCGCTCGCGAACGCTTAACCTACTGGACCACTGATCTGGCTGGCATCCAATGGTGTTAATGTTCAACCCCAACCAATCCACGACGTTGCGCGACCATCTTCCATTGTACTGAGGTGGACACCTGTTTCTACCCGATACGGATTAGCTCCACTGGTGGTCCTAACATCAATCGGTTCATGATCTCAGTCATAAATATTTTTAGCAGATTGTGTAATTAGCGAGTTACAATATCTGAACCTTCCATAGGATTCATCTACATATCAAATTAATAAATTCCTGAGCAAGAAATAATAATTTTTTTAAAAAATATTCAAGTATATACAGTATACTTAGTTTTAACATTCCTTCTGTTTAAAATGTCAGCCTACATAGTTGTTATGTGAAATTCGAGAGAAAAAACATGATTTATTGAATTACTCGTTTCATCATTTAGAAGATAACTATAGTTTCTTTTGGAAAGTGAGTTTTAACATGAAGATTTAATGGAGCTATAATTTGTAGACGACCCTGAGCGACGCTAGACTGACCTTAAGAGTACCCACCTAATAACTAAGACCAAATGAAGGTTATAAACCTGTGTGAAGAATCAGAATCATGATTTAAAGCTGATGATTAAGGTTAGAAATTAGATTTAGGGTTTTTATCACGAACTAACATCAGCTATAATGCCAAAACTCTATTTAACCAAATGGATGAGTGAATTTCTTGCCGAAATCCGAGACCTATTATCTCATAGCTGATCGCTTCATTCATATAATATAGTCTCGCCGAAGATTTTTGTCTGAAATTGACGATTTTGTAAATTCTCATTAAGCACAACTAATCGGTATTTTATGCATCCACTGAGTGTAAACTATATAATGAAGTAAGATATTGTAGTGTTTAAATTATTATTTACTTCAACCATTCCATGGAGTTATTCACTGACTAAATATTCTCGATGATTATTTCTGTATTAGATTAAATTATGGATTGGTTTAAGTTAGACATTAACACCGTTGGATACCAGCTCAGTAGTCTAGAGGTTAAGCGCTCGCTCGCGAGACTTATAGATCCTGGGTTCGAATATTGCTAGACGAGATCGTGGATGCGCATTGCTGGAGGACAGTTCACAGACTCGTTCGAAGTAAAGACCGGCGTCGGGCATGCTTACTCTCACTCTTTCTCTTTCTCCTGGTGATCGACTGGATCATGAAGACGTAAACATCTGGGGGGAGCATGGTATACAATGAACAGCTTGTATGCAGCTGGACGATCCAGACTTCGCAGATGATATAGCTCTTTGGTTGCACACGCAACAACAAATGCAGGAGAAGACGACCAGTGTAGCAGCAGTAGGTCTCAATATACACAAAGGGAGAAACAGGATTCTCCGATACAACACAGCATGAACCAATCGAATCACAATTGACGGAGAAGATTTGGAACCTTTACATATCTAGGCAGCATTCTTGATGAACACGGTGGATCTGGTGCAGATGTGAAGGCACGGATCAGCAAAGCAAGAGTAGCATATTTACAGCTGAAGAACACCTGCAACTCAAAACAACTGTCAATCAACAACGAAGTCACAATTTTCAATATAAATATCAAGACAGTTCTACTGTATGGGACGGAAACTTGGACAACTACGAAAACCATCATCAAAAAGATACCAGTGTTTATTAACAGCTTTCTACGCAAAATACTTCGGATCTGTTGACCAGACAATATCAGCAACAGCCTACTATGAGAGAGAACAAATCAGAGCTAGCGGAGCAAGAAATGAGGAAGAAGTGCTGGAAGTAAATAGGACACACACTGAGGAAAGCACCTAACTGCGTTTCAAAGCAAGCCCTCACATGGAGTCCTGAAAGCCAAAGGAGGAAGAGAGGAAGACCAAAGAACATATTACGTCAAGAAATGGAGAGAGACATGAGAAGAATAAACAACAATTAAATAGAACTAGAAATGAAGGCCCAGGGGACAGAGTGGGTTGGAGAATGCTGGTCGACAACTTATGTTCCATTTGGAGTAACAGGCTTAAGTAAGTAAAGTAATAGATGAAAACAATTTTGTTTACTTCCAATAAGTTTATTAATGTAAACATTATGATATCGTCCAGAAAAATTCAAAGATTAATTTCTTTTTTTTTTGTTTGTATTAACGCTTTTGTTTTTGGTAACTGTTCATTCTTTTTTTTACAATAATAATCATAATACTTATAGTTTAACATTTGTATGTTTTATTTGAAATAAGATAAACTTGCACGTTTTTCTGATTCCAGATTATGATCATCCTCATTATTATTATTATGTTTACTGATTAGTAGATTTTCTTCAAGCCAATGTAAATAATCTTTATTTAAACATGGACAAATTTCAGCAATTTGTCTTATATTATGTATTCCTCTTGGTTGTTGATCATATTGACCACGTTTATAATAGTATAATGTTGCACGTTTAGATGGTGAATCAGATGTTGAATCGGATATTTCACTTCGACGTTTGAAATATGCCAAACTTGCACGTTTGTCATATGTATCTGTATTCTAAAGACAATATAAATTATCAGTATGGGGGTTGTGGAGATTATTAAGTTTTTGATTAAGATCATGAACCGGTTGATGTCAGACCACCGTTGGAAACCTGGAAACACTGGACAGCCGTTTCGTTCTATTGTGGGACTCCTCAGCAGTGTACACGCAAGATCACGGCTCGCAGGATTCGAACTCAGAGCCTTCAGTCTCTCTCGCGAACGCCTAACCTACTGGACCACTGATCTGGCTAGCATTCAATAGTGTTAATGTCTAACCTCAACCAATCCATGAAGTTCCACAATAGGACGAAACGACCGTTCACTGCTTCCAGGTTTTCAATAGTGGTCTAACATCAATCGGTTCATGATCTCAATCAAAGACGATTTAATTATAGAAATATAATTTACTTTCAATACAAATGATAGAATTGTATAACATAAAAATCTTCGACTAAGGGATGACTGGTCAAAGTTTATAAAATTATGATTTAACAATGGTGTATCATCACTTCATTCAGCGTTAAATGTTTTATTTCTTTTCATTAGTCATCTTGTTTATTTTCATCACTTGTTACCGTTGAAACCGTCTTCTTATATAATATAATGATCAATTTTTTAAAGAGTTTTTTTGGTTTGCAAAAACACACTTTATTACCAGGTGAACTAAAGAATCCTAATAAATTTGTAATACCATAGTGATAGCTAAATTTCACTAAATAGATGAAAATAGTCAGAGGTGAGATATGACCATAATCATATCATGTAGTAATACAATAATTATGGAAACACCAGTATACTTTACTTTAAGTCTATAAACCACAATATGATATTGCTATCTATCAGGAGAAGTTGAAGATAATTAGATCTTAGAGGCAATACTTTCTGAGCATGGTATGAAACTCAATAATTAATTTGACAGATATTTGAACAAAGCTACCGATGTTAACTAATTGGAATAGTCATCTAGTGGCCCGATAAGTGACTCCAATTGGATCATAGGGATATTATTGAAATATACATGTCGTCTATCCTGGTATTTGATTATCGATTTAATCAGCGTTAATGAATAACGGAATTAAATAATCCAAATACGAGAATGAATTTTGAATACATATATGTCATACAATCGTTGATCTAGACGAACGAGTGGAGAAACGAAGCGAAGAGACAACAGTAAAGCAAAATGACACTCTGTGGAGAAGGCATGTGAGACAACTCTATTTAATCAATAGTTAATCAATTTTTATGGTCAAACAAAAATAAGTTACTGACATGTGGTGAATAGGATAAGAGAAGCACAGAAATACACTTACATAAAAAGTCAGGGTTGATAATCCAATACTTAACAAGATCAAAATATTACTCAAGAAGAATAAATAAACGGGGCTTGCCCAGAAGCTAGACTAAGCTATATAGGTGTAACATAGTAACTGACACTACAGGGCGTAGTACTTTCGTGATTTACAAAGGGTTCATCAACGCTTTCTTTGAGGCATGATTTGTTGAATACATTGTAGACTTTAGGTATAGATCTAAATACCTTTTTATTATCTTTAAAACAATTTATCACAACCAATAATGTAGCATTATCATATGTTTGTTTAGAAAAGGATCATATCCTCATGAGTTAATTAAAGATAATGATAACTTGCGTCTTCATTTCGTCACTTGATGTACTCAACTTTTGTTAGCTCGCTCCATATAAAAAACACCTACTAGTAAAATACATTTCCAATTATCCTTTTGGCCCCCAAATGCCCTGGTACGGACGAGAATGGGGGGAGTCCGCTCTCCCTCTCGAAATGCTCTCACATGGCCACGCGTATACAGCCTCTGCCAGGGAAGTCCTACTCACTGCCTCCTCGTGGCACTACTGTTGTTTACGAAAATGAGAGGACGAAAAGCGAATGTCCGGCGCTTTAACCGGATCCCAAACCAATGGTGCACATGGGCTCCAGTATCCTGAAGGAACAAATGGCGTATGAACCAATTGTTGGTCACCGGCTACCATGGGACTGCATCTCCTTACGATGCTCCACTGCCTTGTGGATCAGACCTTCAGGTCGAAGGCTCGGGGAGTGGCCCCCTAAGAAAACCACCTGCTTCGGTTTGGAGACTTGGGCAGTATCACAGCCCTCACACATATCGAATGAGATTTGTGTGGCGCACATGTATCTGGTGCCTCCTTGTACCAACATCTATGTGTTAAAATACTTACTTTACTTACTAACTTACTGACACCTGTTATTCCTCGTGAAGGAGCATAGGCCGATGTGTTAAGATAATAAATAATAATAATAATTTCATCACAAATGGAAAATCTTTACTTCTTATTACAAAAATTTCATACATTGTTTTAATCTGAAATTTTGTATTGATATGGCTAGTAAGATTTAAACTTGATAGACAGAGCCTTAGTTTTATTACTTAGTAAATAATCTACTCAACCAATAATCATTTGCATTTTAATGAATGTTCATTCATGTCTATCTTTGTATTAGAAGTGTTATGTATATACATGTGCCATTTTACTGTATGAAAGGACCTTCATTACACTAACCAATTGCTCTATCTTCTAATGTCAGTTTGTTAAAGATTTTTGAGTCAAGAATTCAGTTTTCTGAATAACTTTGTAATTAAACTTGAGAACTGAGTTCAAGCCACGAGCCCCTGTTTAAAAGGTGATTCAGATATCATGGAAAAAGTACAGAGGGCAGCTACCTGTGCAAATCAAGAACTCCAGGGTTTGCTATACCAAGAGCGGCTTGAAAAGCTAGACCTCTTTTCTCTGTCCTATCGCAGATTAAGAGAACATCTGAATTTAATTTATAAAATACTAAGAAATGATTTTGGGTCTAATATATCATCTTATTTTCTTCTCAACAGATCGGGATATCTCAGAGGAAATAACAGGCGAGTAGAAAAGCCTGGAACGAATAAACTACCCGTGGCATACAGGTTTTCACACCGAGTCTTAATGCTTCAAACCTGTTACCCAAAGCAGTGGTGTCTGCACCTTCAATTAACTAATTCAAGTGAAGACTAGACACTCACAGAAACATACTAGAAAAGTAGTAACATAGTCAATAGGCCTTCTGCCCTTACTACACAAATCTGAATCTGAACTTGACGATCAACTGAATGAAATAAGTCAACCAAGCAAACTGGTCTCAACAACCCATTTTCAAGCAAACAAATATTTACATTTTAAACAGTTAGATTACTGTTTCATCTCACAAATGTGTGAAACAGTTTAACATTCTATTTCAATGTGATTTCCAAATTCTTGAATATTGAATTTAGGTATCATGCTCATTACTTTATTCAAGTATACAACCTTGCATAAAGGGTCATTAGACAACATGGTTGTTTACAATTTTCATTGGCTCACAAATAGTACTAAAGAAAATAACATCCACTACTAATGAAATATCAGGTTAACTTATAACTGATTGTTCCGTACCATTCATATGGTCCTAGCTTGAAAGTTTGTATAGAGGATACTGATCAATCGTTACAAATGTAAGCATATGGGCTATAGTTGAAGAAAATACTTACTGTTTATCTAGATCAGTATCATATTCAGTACTTAATTATGAAAAGCTGATTAGGTTAATATATTTTATGATTTTTTCCACATAAAATTAAAAATCAGTTCTCTAACCCCGGTTTCTAGTCATCTGAAAAGGGGTTATATATCATAATGGTAAATAATATTGACCCTATTTCACCATTTCGGCCAATTACCATCAGCAACCACGATGATAACATAAATGATAACGAGTGTGAAACAAAGCTATTAATAATAATAAAGTAACAAATTATAGTTGTATAAACCAGTGTATGAATGCTTTAGCCATTATTTATCAATGTTTTGTTATCTGAACTAACATCTATCAGAACTATGTATTGATAATGGTATCCAAGAAGACAATGAAATATTGGTATCACTTTATTGAAAAGGCATAAAATCACCACCGGTATTCATCTAAGCTTTAAAAGTTCAAAAAACTAAATTATATCCATCTTATTCTTTTTTTAAAAAAAGAAAGGAACCTCTCATGTAGTCAAAAACAAATTTAGTCTCCATTAAAATTTTTATAGCCGATAAAAATATCAGAAGGGGTTTTTATGAATATTATAGTAATTTTAATAGTTGAGATCTTGATTCAATTGAAGCTAGTTGAAGTTAGACATTAACACCATTGGATGCCGGTTCAGTGATCTAGAGGTTAAGCATTCGTGCGCGAGACCGATAGATCCTGTGTACGAATCCCACCACTGAACCTGTATCCAACGGTGTCAATGTATAACTTCAACTAATTCATGAAGTTGCGCCGCCGTTCACCAGTGATTATGCGCGAGACCGATAAATCCTGTGTTCAAATCCCACAAGGTGGTATGGTAGATGAGCACTGCTGAGGAGTCCCACAAAAGAACGAAATAGCTATCCAGCACTTCCGGATTTTCCATGGTGATCTAATCACAACAGATTCATGATTTTAACGATAAAAATACGGGTGTTTTTTAAGAAAAAAGTGTTTTGAATCATAAATATTCCGGTATATGATATTAATCTCACTAACCACAATTTAATTATTATCTAATTAACATAAATCAAATCAGAATATCAACAATTGAATAATAAAATACTTCCGGAAAGTGAATTATTTATAACTACTTAGTAACTGATATTTTATTTCTTTTTTTTCTACAGAAGGGAGGGGGGAGAGGGTTAAGAATATTGACATTATCATTTATCATTGATTTCAATATCAATATAAATTAGTGATTAGCTAAGTGTTGTTCTATATTAATTATCAATACTATTCCATGTAATTAAACTAACAACAGAAAGATAATAATAATCATATGGACATGACAATGAAATAATACAATTTCCGTAATCCTTTTCTTCCCTAATGTAAAAAATGTATTTTATAAGCATAATAAATGAATGAGATTTTCTTAGATATAGATCCTTCTTATTGAAAGTTAATCAATTGAAAGATATGTCCCTTGAATATTAATTATATTGACTGTTATTAATGATAAGAATAAATTATAATTAATGAATGATTGTTATTACTTGAGATAAGAAAACAAAACATGAAATCAGAAGAGGGTTTTATGTAGATATTAGTTATTTGATAGTTAAATGCATGAATCAATCGAAAGTACATTACCACGGAACACCTGAAAGTATTAGATCGCTGTTTTGTTTTAGGATGAGACTCTTCAACAATACACATCCATAATCCCGCCTAGTGCCATTCGAACTCAGGACATATCGGTCCAGAGCACGAACGCAAACTGAAAAGGCATCCAATGGTGTTAATTTCTAACTTCAATTAATCCATGAAATTCAGTGACACATCCACCATTGTCTTCAATCAGTTAATATCTCGCAACAGACCTTATTGAACTCCACTGGTCACTGCTTCTTACTAGAACTCCAGGAAATACCTCTTGAAGCCAGTCACTAGTAGGTATATATTGATTAGTATCAGAAAAGTTCCAAAATGGGACAAAATGACCGTCCAGTGCTTCCAGTTTTTCCATGGTGATCTAGCTTCAGTTGACTCATAATCTCAACCATTGAGATTATATAAAACTTAATTGCTAATAAATTCTTATTCAAATATCGATTACCTTCTGATCTTTTAGCTAGTACGAGTTACGCAATGTAGTAAAGGTCGTACACTCTTGAAAGTGGAACAGTTAATTCCATCTAATTATACCAAATAACATGGTATATATGAGATTAGAATTTTCCGATATTTTTTTTGGTCGAGATTAGACTTTTACAGTGTTGGATGCCGGTTCAGTGACTAAGCGCGGTGGGATCATGGATGCGCATACTGGGAGGAAATGGCCATCCAGTGCTTCCAGGTTTTCGTGGTGGTTTAACTTTAATTTACTCATGAATTCAACTATCAAACATAAATTCAATTTCCTTTTTTCATGTGAATTCTGTATTCTATGAAATACAAATATTTGTAGTTTACTATACATTAAAGTCTGTATTGTCTTTGATTCAGCTATATGTATAAGAATATAGATTGAGATGTATAAGTGCTTGTACATTTTTATTTACAGCATATGCCTTAAATCAGTGACTAAGTGAATAAATTGATGTTGTTTGAATCGAACAATACTGGGTTCGAGTTTCGAAGTGACAATCAACTCTAGGGTGCAGGTACATCCAGCTGACGAGTCCCAAATAGGAAGAAACGCGAGTCATGGTTTACACTGCTAGCCACTATCCATCTTTTCTAATGTCTGTGACTTGGGGTAATATCAAGGCAATTCGTACAGAATTCACTTATATTACTTCGAGACTGATCAACTGTAGTCGTAAACATCAATGGGAAGATTCAAACAAACAATACAAAATGAAATTAATTTGGATGGTTTATATGAGAGATTTTTACTGTTTTTATTGGAGGGAAGGGGATTTTGTCACCCTTACTGTAAATAAAAGCAAACGTTTTCAAAATTGGTCAATTTGGATGTCAGTCATTCAGTCAGTAACAACTTAGAACTTCGTACGTACATACGTCAGTTCGAGTTGCCATACCACATTAGCACAGAGATACAGTTGTCGATTCAATTACCATAGTGGTAGAGGTAGTATAAGTATAAGCAATAATCGAAAACATAAAGGTTTGAAGATGTAACAGAATGTCATTTTACTACAACCATAATCTTTAACATTCCTGATGATTTACTTCGTGTTAGTTTGCTCTCGTTTAGGGTAAAATCTTTATTCGATCATATTTATCATTTCAGTAAAGATTACATTTTCATTCCTACTTGTTATACTACTTATGACATAATGATAATATTAAAAAAACATAATTCCATAATTCAAGTATTTACACAAAGTAATAATGAACAAATCAACTTACAGCACTGTTTATGTTTATTGTTAAAATAACAAAAGTGAATATAAACAATTGTATTAATGATAATTTGTTCATTATTACTGAAATAGAAAATAAGTAGACACAAAATGTAATCAACAAATGGATATAATAATATTATGAATGATTGTAATATTATGGTAAATAACAACAGAAACAAAAAACAAACTTTCAAGATACTTCTTCTTTCTACATGATGAATCAAAACAAGAGTTAATTATGAATAATATAGATGAAGTCATGGTTTCTCATTCGATGCTCACAGACTTATTTATTATTGAATGAATACATAACATTAAGAAATAGACATTGGTAAGTAAGACAATGAAAATGGTAATGATTGTCAGTATTTATATGTTGACATGTTTTTGATCGCCTTAAGACAAATACAAAAAAGATAAAACGATAAAACTGTTTTTTGTAAGCAATGATGGATAGTGACTAGCAGTAGAATCCAGGACGCGCGTTTCGTCCTATTTGGGACTCGTCAGGTGGATGTTACATGTGATGCTCTATTTTCAACAATAATATGAACCAAGAAGTAGCATACAAACTAATATAGTGTTTAAATTAATGTATCTAATTGTTTATAAAAGTCATGTTTCTTCTCCCATAATATCTACTTTTAATGATGTATTTCTCTATACCAGATTTCACTAGGACATCGAAAAAAGTGATGTATTCTATCAACACATAAAAACTTACTACTAACATTAATTTAAGTAGTTTCATTTGGAATTTTGAGTGATGTGAATTCATTTTCTCATTAACAAATGATATCAGCTACCGAATCACATTGATGATGTTAATCGATGATTGCAATATTAAAAACTTATCAAAATTCAGTCAGATGATCAGAAACAGGATAATCTAATATATTGTAGATTTAACTAAAATTCATAGGCATTGTACATTTAGTAGCTAGGCGAACATGATGAAGCTTAAAGCGAACGGTACTATGTTCAAGTCCCAGAGTGAAATTTAACTCAGATGAAGGTAGGTCCAGCTGACAAATCATGAATACGATGGAACGCACGTCCTAGACTCTACTGGCAACTACATTACATTGTATTCTATAATATTATTAGATGCTATTCTAACCAAATCTTTGAAATTATTTTTATGCATTGAAATGAAAAGCATTACAATTTAGAATGTGCCAGAAGAGACTGACTTAAAAAATAAAGAGAAGAAAGTAAACAATGTGCAACTGGAGAACGCTCAGACTTATACAAGTTGCTATGAAATGAAAGTAATGCTTGAGTAAATCAGCCTAAGTGTGAAAAGTAACTATAATTCTTTAATCATACTACCATAATTGTTCCACATTATTTTATATTTTACGTTATGAACTGACTTTGCTCACATGACTGTTGTAAGCCAGAAAGTACTGCATGACTTTTTCATACCAATGAAAGACTCCCCTTCAGTGCACATGCGTGACACAGACATAAATCTAACTTAAATCCCTCAAGTTATGAGGTGAACAAATCATTTTTGAACCAATAATCCAGGATTCAGTGTTTCTTGTTCCTAAACCCAAGCTATACACGATTTTCAAACTTCAACATCGATTCTCTTAATCTTTGACAAGATTACTTAGCAACCATTTTCAATGGGATTCAGCGTGAAATAATTATTCATTAGAAAATGTTAGTTTACATTTGAATCCAAGTAGAAAAATCACTACAATTTTATTGCTAGTTTAATGTAAACATTTCTACTATTCTTCATATTAACCTGTCGTTTGCTATACAAAAATCCTATGAAAGCAAAGAATCATTCTAAAAATTAAAGTATTGTGTTAATGGATAGAATCATTCTGCCTTCTATCCTAAATATACTTATTGAGAGATGAAGTTCTTATCATGTCAGGTTTGTTGAATTATTCAGGTTGAAAATCTAGACAGTTGAAATCTCAACTAATTAAATTATGACATTTGAAACTTTGTGTATGTATGAAAGTTTACATTTCTAATAAACCACATTTCTAATGCTTCTAAGTAATATTTCAGTTTCTTCCAATAGTTGAGATCATGAGTCAAATAAAACTAGACCACCATAGAAAATATGGAAGCACTGCAAGGTCGTCTCGTTCTATTATGGGACTCCTATGCAGTGCGCATCCATGATACCGCCCCGAGGGACTCGAACTCAGGACCTATCGGTGTCATGCACGAACTCTTAACATCTACACCACTGAGACGACATCCAATAATGTTAATTTCTAACTTCAATTAATCCATGAAATTGAGCGACACATCCACCGCTGTCTTCAGTGAATAACTATCCCACAACAGACCTCATTAAACTCCACTGGTCACAGATTCTCACAAGAACTCCAGGAAATACCTCTTAAAGCCAGATGTTGTTCCCTTGACGATAACTGGAAAAAGCCTTCCATAAATTGTAAAACGATTTAAAATAAATAAAAAAGTTGAAAAACGTGACAAATTTTGTCTATTTTTAGTTTATACACTTCCTGGAAATGTTTAACAGACGAAAACAATCAGTCATTCAGTATTTCTACGTCATTCATGATGGTCTAGCTTTAATCAACTCATGAATTCACCTATTAAAATTTATTACAATCTCCACAAACCCCTCCCCTCTCTGAAAAAAACCATCTTTCATTCAAACCGTTTCCATGATTTGAAATTTTTAAGAAGAGTAACGGACACAGTGAGGATTTAGAAGGTTCGAATGTCTTAATTTTTTTTCATTTTTATACTAAACAAAAAGTTTAAAATTACGAATTTATTACTTCAGTTTGTTTTAGTTACCATAGATTGATGTGTGAGCGCGAATGATAATGATTGATTGTTTGCTTAGTCAAACATGTAGATAGTCTGACAAATGTCAAGTGAGTTATATATTCCCCTATCCTTATTATTATTGATTGATTAATCATTGTTATTGGATCGTGTCGGGTTTTTGGTGTGGAAATATATTTACGTCCTCATCAGGTTAATCACATGTTCTTGATCATCTGAGTTATATTGAAGTCTTGTAGAATAGACATTGGGGAGGGAATCTAGTGTAGATATTCGCGTAAGGTAAATTAACAACCCATACGTGTAGACGAAGTAAAACCGAGCGTAATTAAAACATATCGTGTACCAAAATACATTTTGTTGTTGTTGGTGGTGGTGATGGTGGTGGTTAATTGTATTACAATTAACTACAATCATATCCATAATAATTTCATAATCCATTAAAAATGACAGACTAAATGACGTCAGATCATTTCAACAGAAGTACATATAGACACAATAATGGATGGGACGATACCAAATATGAAAATACAAACAAACAAACAGACAAACAAAAAAGAGAGTAACTTCATTAATCACTAAGTAAGTAAATATTGTTTGGTTAAAAAAGAGATTTTTTCTTTTTTTTTTTTTTGATATCTGTCATAAAGGTTTATTATCCATATAAATCATGACTAGTTATAATTACTACGAATTATGAAATAAAATTAATCGTTTCTTTTTTTCTTTTCCATGGTGAAATCATTGATTGGTTACTATACATCAACACTGAAATAAACTATCAATAATATAATATACTTTGTATAATGGTGAATAACAAGACTCGTATTTCATATGAAACACGACTAATTGACTGGATATACTTTTGTTTTAGTGTTAATATTCATCAAGATAGTACAAGTATTTATAGTTAGTTATCTATGTAAGATAAGCAACATTCATTGGCCGGATACCATCAGCAACAGCTTACTGTGGGAGAGAACAAACTGGCTTTCAGCTGAGGAGGAGATTAGGAAAAGATAATGGAAATGGATAGGACATACACTATGCAAATCATCGAACTGCATCACGAGGCAAGTCCCAACTTGGAATCCCGAAGGAAAGTGGGAAAGAGGAAACCCGAAGAACACATTACTTTGGGAAATAGAAGCAGATATGAAAAGGGTGAATAACAACTGGAAAGATCTGGAAAGGATTTCCCAAGACAGGGCTGGATGGAGAGTGATGGTGGGCGACCTATGCTCCTCGACGAGGAGTAACAGGCATAAGTAAGTAAGTTAATATTCAGATTGAAACTATAACTTATTTCCTATTATTGCAAACTTTACTAGTAGTAGCACAGTGGATTATGCATTGATGATGGCAGGATTCTAATCCTGTACTCACCCTGGATGGTGAGCAGATAGAAGTAGTCGAGAAGTTCGTGTATCTGTGTAGCTGAATAAGTGCTGGTGGTGGCGTGAGTGATGACATCAATGCACGTATAATGAAATGCACAGTGGCTTATGCCAATCTGGGCCATCTTTGGCGCCTTCGTGATGTTAGTCTGGCTGTAAAAGGTCGGATCTACAACGCGTCCGTGAGAGCAGTTTTGCTCTATGCTTGTGAAACTTGGTCTCTCCGAGTTGAGGACGTTAGACGACTCTCTGTGTTCGATCGTCGCTGTCTCCGAAGGATTGCTGACATCCAGTGGCAACACCATGTCAGTAATGCAGAGGTTCGACATCGTGTGTTCGGACACAGAAATGATAATGCAATTGGTGTCACCATCCTGAAACACCGACTTCGGTGGCTTGGACATGTTCTCCGAATGTCGTCCCAGAGAATTTCACGTCGTGCATTATTTGCCGACTCTGGGACTGGTTGGAAGAAGCGGAGAGGTGGTCAGTGCATGGCATGGTGTCGTGGTATGAAACGAAGCTGTACAGGACTGGTTTCTGTTGGTCCTTCAAGACTCCTTGACTGGGGTCCGAGAGATGGTGCAACACAGTGGCTAGAGACGTTATCAGATATGGCTCAGAATAGAAGCCAGGGGCGATCCTGCTGTAACCTTCTTTTACTTTCTTCATAAAAAGTGGTTGTTTCTTCCTTAACTGGAAGATTTCTTCTGGTTGTACCTTTCCGTCTCCACCATTATTATTATTATTATTATTATTATTACTGTTATTAATACCCACTAACCTACACTAATCTGTGGTCGTTATTGTTCTTTTTTTCTTACGTGCACCTTACCTTCTTTTTTCTCTTCGAACTCTCATTGTTTTGTGTGGCGCATATATATCT